AGGGTGATAGCATTCAGTTTCATCGAAACAAGAGGATATTCCTCATAGAAGCACGATGGTAACTAGTTAACTAGTCTACGCTCGTCTTTCACCTCCGTCACCAACGAGAGGGGACAGGTCCTTGTTTCTCCGCTACCACAATGAATGCCTCCCCGTGGAGTGACCGGGGGCACAGTGGCCTAATCCGGATTAAGAATAAAATGTTGTGATCATCGTTTGCTGTTGCCGTTGGAGCTTTCGATTCGATGGAGCAAGTTGGTTCTGGAACTCTGTTCGGGCCAGAGTGGTAGATTCAATCCATCGTTTTGTCTTGTCGATGGTGAATGTAAGGTTGTGGGTTTTGGTGTCCGAGTGGACTCTCCAGTGGTCGACGGGGAGTAGGCTTATGGTGCCTTGGGTGTATTGTTGTCGAACCCGTTCGGGTAGAGTGTCCAGTTGGAATAGTTGGGTGGGAGTGAGGGTAGTGCCATGGACGGCTTCATTTCGGTTGGTCCAAAGTGTGAAGTGTAGGCTCCAGTTCTGTTTGATGAAGGCGCGTGTCCAGGCCAGGCCATCTCCGTTCTTCTTAAGTCGTTGCAGGTGGTGTGTTTGGATGTGTTGGAAGGATTTGGAGACCCTGCCAAGTAAAAAGTTCCGTGTCGTGCGAACACCCACATAAACGACTCAGTTGCTTGGGCCCTCGGGCTCGATTCGTACCAGCGTTGACAAAGGTCCTCCGGACCAGATAGGTAGTCTGCCTAAAACTAGTACTTTTTATATATACTGCTACTACATGTACTGCTACTGCAGCTGTTGCTGTTGCTACTGCTGATACTTGGTTCAAACGCCGCGAGGGCTTGTTGTTGTCGATTGTGGTGTTGTCGCTCGCCGCGAGGGCTTGTTCCTTCTATGTCATACATGTAATGAGTGTGTCGCTCGCCTCGAGGGCTTGTCGCTCGCCGCGAGGGCATGTCGCTCACCGCGAAGGCTTGTCCCTGATACTATGACTGTTGTCGCTCAAACGCCTCGAGGGCTCCTCCCATTGTCATGGTGCCGGTTGGTTGGTCGGTCGGTCGGTTGCTGTTGCTGTTGTTGTTGTTGTTGTTGCTTCGACTGGGGCATGAGTTACCGTGGTTCGTGTTTTGGTTGGTTTGGCAGGTTAAATTGCACGGGTTGGAGTTGTGACCTGAAAACGCTCACAATTTACTTACTTAGCAACTGCCGTTTAGTCACTTTAACGGCCGTTAAGTTACTTAGGGGTGAAATTGTCACATGGTTCCAGAAGACACGGTCTTACCCCTCCAGTGCTCACCTGCCGAGAGCTCGCCCGGCCGGCTTCGACCTAAATGTCAATCCTAACGGATTTCCATTTAGGTCTCATCTGGCCGGGCTCGCTCTCGTTCCAGGTTTGCACTTGTTGGTGCAAGACGTTCCTCTACAGAACTGTGGCATGGTGGGTCGACTCTGTCAAAATTTGATATTTACCACTCTAACTTGCATTTGATAAACTATACGAAAGGCAAGTCACAAAATCTAGCTGTTCCAGAGGCAGTCTGGGTTTGCTTCAAATAAGGCTCGTACCCAACCATCAGCAAGAGAGTTGATCTTCATATCGTCATTTCGTCACCCTCTTCTTGCGGTTGGGTCCTCAAATTATTGTACGGAGGTGGACCACATCCCAGCAGCAATTCGCCTGGTTGTAGTTGTTGTTTTTGAGACGACGACGAGTGATAGGTCTCCAGGAGATGTCTCCGCCGTAGTTTCAACGCTTCCAAATGCAACCGTGGATTGGCTCCATTGTCTTGACGTAGTATTCGAGCCTGCACAAAAAGACACGCATTGTCCTTGTCAGAAGCATCATTGTTTTGTGGTGGTTTGTTGGCTTGTAGTAGATTGGTTGCCACTTCTCGGACAAATGACGAAAGAGGTACTTCTGAAGTGTTATTGTCCTCATTGCCGGACTGCAGTTGGATGATACTCCCAAATACCGTCACCAAATCTCCCACGGCCAGATTGTCCACGGGGACATGTTGCGGGTCCACCACTATCCACACGGTACAAGAAGTCAAGGCTGTGGCCAAAACATCTTGGGGCCGTTGTTTGGTGACAGAGGACAGCGGTCGTTTTTTGCGATTTGACGACAAGCCTCCTCCAGGGGTCTGGAATGAGCGGGAAGCAGCCGGAGTTTGAAATGAGCGGGAAGCCGCCGGAGTTTTGAGACCACCTGGAGTGACCAACAGCGGTGTTCGGTTGTGGCGTGGCATGCCCAAGCTGGGTCTTCGATTAGAAGTAGAAGTAGATTGTGGCGGTTGGGTGGTAACAACTGTTGTACTGGGAGTTTTAGCAACCGTGCCGGGAGTTTTGGCAATCAAAGAAGTGGTCCTGGTAGGTCCAAAACTGATGCGTCGTCCCTTCATCTTTTTGCGATTGGTGGTGGCGGGTGTTTGGAGTCCTCCTCGTTCCTTGACGGCCAGTTTGGCCAACGGATCCTCCAGTACCAAGGAAACTTCTGTACTATTCCCGTGATGAATTCGATGACGTAGAACTCCCGTAGTACGAATAGGCCTGTTGGCAATGGAATAGAGCCCTCCATGACGACCAATTTCCGAAATGGTCAGTATTTCGGCAGCCCCAAAACTGATCATGTTGGAAGGCAATCGTTTCCAAATAGGGAGTGAGACACTCATGGGCATGGCCACGTCCGTGTCTTCTGATGATGGTTGTTGTTGGTTGGCATTGCTGCCTGGAACTCTGTTTCCAATCATCTACTCTCCTTCTCGACAAAAAAAGTCGTCATAATCCTCCAATGGCTTTGAAACAAAGCTCGGGCGGTGCCGTCTCTTTTGGTCGCATACGGATATTACTCGTTTTCGTGAAGAGGAGAATTGGCATTGCTGGCGAACAGGAGGATACTATGTACCACTATCACACACGACTGACCAACCATTACAGTAACCAGAAACCAATACAGCCTCGGAAGAAAAAACACAACAACAACAACTCGGTAATAGCGGCAGCTGGACTCTCGACAAATCTCTGACACTACAAGCTGACCAGCGCTTCTCTGTGTCTATATATGTTATATATGAGCAAAAGACGGATGCAAAAGGAGGGAGGGGGATAAGCGTGCCAGGTGTGGACGAAAGGCTTTCGCGAGGAATGGCACAACAGCGAGGCAACGCGAAAAAGAAAGCCAACGCGGATCTTCATCACGCCACTGACAAACCTCAGTCTTTAGAAATTCAATGCAACCCGGACCGTCTCCGTTTCCAGTGACCTAGTTTAACTTGTCTACTAATACAGGATAATGGTGAATAAGAATCGAATGAATCATTGTGCTTATATGAGGGTTGTTTTTGCAATTGAAGTCAACGTGAGTTAAGATCAGGGTTGGCTCGCTCTCCGCTGGACTTGGTGTCTTTTTTTCCTCTGTTCCGCGCTCTGTTCGTCGGAACTGGAGGTATTCGTAATAGGATCGTGAGATTCGCAGTTTTCTCATACCTTGTGGGTTCATCATTCTGACTATTCCAGTGATGTCTCGGGGTGTGGCCGACGTGGTCTGGAACAGTGTGGACGGGAGATGACTATTTGGTGCACTGAACTGGGAATGGATTTGCGAATAATTGAGCCAGTATGAGATTGAAAGTAAGGTGCACGGGATTTATACGGAAGCTAAGTAGAGACTTACCACCAGTTCTCCTGCGTGGTGCCTTCAAGAAGAGTCCCAAGAAGGCCTCAAAGTTCATTCCGGGGGGTAGTGCAAAAACATGGGGA